AGAAAAAAATACTAAAACTGTTACCAAAATTTAAAGAAAAAACTGTGTATTTGATGACCACAGTAAGCTATATAGCCCCAGATAGGTACTATTTTATAGTATGTTCATTCTACTCACTGAGGTTTATGCCTAAAGTCAGACATGGGTTCTTGTGTATGTATATATCAGCTGTGCTTGCTATTGCAAATATTTAGACAAATTAAGTTCATTAGCAAATCAATTAAATGGGAGGGGGGGATAGGCATAGAGAGCAATCATGGATACCAGAAACAATGGGAGGAGGGTTGGACAGGGCAGAGGGTTAGGGATAGGGAATCAAGGATGGCAAATAAATAAATAAATAAATAAAACGCAAAATATACAAGACATAAGAAATGAAGAATTGTTTGTTGATAACATGTATGTTGATGTGCTTGATTGAGCCAACAGACAGTGTATTTTGGATGAAAAATTCATTTTGTATACTGTAATGATGTATAGCATATTAATGTTTAATAAAGAAAAATAAATTAATAAATAAAAAAAATCACAAGATAGAAAACTGCGCGGCACACTTGTGTACCACGTGAAATACCTAGTTCACAGGAGCCATATGGAACCTCCTTCCAGCAGTATATCACTTCTAAGCTCAAGCACGTGATGCTGAAAGCCTTGATCCCTTGCCACCTGCTCCCCTCTACAATGTTGCTACAAGTTCTAGCTTTTCCCAGGGTGGGGAACAAAGAGAGAATGAAAGAGTAATTAAGATTGAAGCCATAGCCTGTCATAACTTAATTTGAGAAGTGATATCCCATGATTTATGCCATATTCTATTCCTCAGAAATAAGTCACCAAGGGGACCAGCAGTGTCGCTGGACTCCCATGTAGCCAACCGCAGTTCGAGTCCCTGACTCGGTGGCTTAAACTCACGCTGGGCACATGTGCATGTGTGCCCAAGATCCCGAGAGAGGAGAATGGAGGTGAAGGGATTGCGGCATGGCCATCCCCCTTGGGGAGTGATTTCTCACTTTCTATCCCTCTGTCTCTCTCTGTCTCTGGTGAGCGCACGTACCCTATAGCAAAAACCTCTCCAAAGAAAAAAAAAGAAAAGAAAAGAAAAAACAGAGAAAGAGAGAAAAGAAGAAAGAAAGAAAGAAATGAGCCACTGAGTCAAACCCACACTCAAGGGGAAGGGATAGTACATGGTCATGACAAGCAGAAAGTGGAGTCCATCTAAGTCCATCTTAGGAACTGCCTAGCACAGATATAAACACACATTCCTTGAAGGAGAAACAACAGATTACCCAACAGTGGAAAGTATCTCATCTAAAATGTTCTCTCATTATTTTGAAATATTTAACACATTATTATTGACTACAGTCCCAGTGCTGTGCAATAGATCTACAATTTTATTCTGCCTGTCTATTTGATACTTTCTGTGCTTTGACCAACAACTTCTCATTCCCTCTTTTCCTTCCCACCCTACTCAGCCCTTGGCAACCATCACTCTATTCTCTACTTTTTTTAATAATTATTTATTCTATTTAACTCTATTTATTTATTTTTAAAATTTTACCAGAGAGAGAGAGAGTAAATAAGAAAAGTCTGAGAATCGAACCATAGTCAGCCATGTACAGTGCCCTCAACCATCATGCTACCTGCTAGCCCCTCTATTCTCTATTCTTTCAGTTCAATTTTTTTAAAAAGTTTTTATTGTCTATCTTGTATTTTACTGGTTAAAGAAGCCAGATCCCGCAGGCTCGACCACAGTTTGAACAGTCTTTGAACCCAGGCTTTGGTGTCTTAAAAAACACTCTAGTTGTGTGTTTTTCAAATCCCAACTGGATGGATAAGTGGAGGCGAAAGAATTTTGGCATGACCATGCCCCACTGGAGAGTTCTTTTGCCCATCCCTCTCTCTCTTTCTCTCTCTCATTCCTTCTCTGTCCCTCTCTAGCAAGCAACATGCCCTCTGGCAATTAAAACATATTTTAAGTGAAGAATGAGTAAATGCAAAACTTTAAAATTAGATTCTATTTCCACCAACTAATTTAGGAAAAAGACACCCAATACTGGTGACAATAAGGAAAAATGATATTGTAATATATTGTCAATCTTTACATACACACTAATGACACGCTCAAGGCGGAGCAGGGAACTGCTCCTGTGTCCCGTCACCGGACTCTGCCTTTCTCTGCTCCATCATCCCACCTGGCTGAACACTGACATTTGACATCCCACACCTGCCTGTGTGAGTTTAAAAAGTGATTTGCACAAGACAAATAAAAAACTTTATATACAACAAATTGGTTTTTAAAAATACAAAAATAGTATCTGTCACTTTTGTCATGCTGACAATTTGACACATATATACATGCAAAAGAAAAGTTCCAATTCAGTTGTCTGGACAGCTGGAGCCTGTGTATTTCTAATATACTGAACACTGCCACCAAGAGGACAGATGTGTATTCAAAATATTTCATATACTAAATACTGCAATAGTCTCTGCATGTATAAATGCTAGCCACAATAGTTTTTCTACTTGATTAAAAGTATGTCTTAAGCAAGCTATTATTAAGTGCACTAAAAACCACAACAGTTCAGTCTATGACCTTATATAAAGAAATGCAAAATGTACAAAATACAACTATAAAGCAAGGGACAGGTACTGCCATGCAAGAGTTTAAACTAAAAACTGCACAGAAATGCAATTTTAAATAACAAACTCAAATTTGTGTAACACTCAAGATAAAAGGGTCAGCAGTAAGGAGGTCTACCAACACGATGCTTAACGAGGATTTAGAAAAGAAAATACATTCTCTCTTTGCTGGTATAATGGTATAAATCAGATCTTCAAATCTATGGGAACAAGTCCTCAGTCTCTGTCCTCTGTCTCAAGAAATGAGCTGTAATGAAAGAGAAACATTTTGCCGTAACCAATGTGTTATGTTAAGTACACGTCATAAAACCTACTTCTGTTTTCACATCTACTTTATCTCTGTGACCTTGGGAAATTAGCTGGGAGCACACAACCCAGGCACTATGGATTCTCCTCTCTGATAGCATAGGAAGCTGCCCTCAGTGGTTGTATGAGAACTCTGATACCTAGGTAACCTCCATGCACACCGAGAGCCTTGGGCTTGTCACTAACTGTTCACATTTTATTACTAAGCTCGCAACTAGGAATCAGAAAACACATTTTTCCATCTATTTTGAAATGTGAAAACCAAATGTGTTATTTAGTGACGTAAGTATTTTGAAAACGATATGTTTTTCAACATCTATAATTCCTTTTGTATGTCCAAAATTTGGAAGAGACTGAAATATTTACCTCTTTAACGGTTGTTTTTATGAACTCTTTTCTTTCAGTTAAATCGTAAGCAGGATAATTTTCATATACCTATAGTGAAAAGGAAAACAATGCTAAAAGCGGATTTTAAAATTCAGTAATAGGGGCCAGCAGATGGTGTAATGGTTAAGGTACTGGATTTCCACATGGCCGACCATGGTTCAAGTCCCAGACCTGGTGGCTTAAAAATCATGCTGGGCCTGTGTGTGTGAATGCCCCAAATCCTGAGGAGAATGGAGAAGGGATCGTGGTATGGCCATTTCTCCTGACCCTGGCGGGTGATTTCTCACTTTCCCTGTCTCTCTCTCTGGAGAACACATGTGCCCGATGGCAAAAACTTAAACAAACAAACAAACAAAAAACAAATCCAATATTTTCTTAGGAAAAAAAGGAAAATTATGCAGTGAACGAATAGCTGCTTGACCATTCTACTGGAACTGTGATCCACCATACAGAATTTCATTGCAGTTTGAGAGGTTTTGTAACACTGTATACAGGGCAAAAACATTCTCAGTGTTTTATAAAATGGGAATATGGGCTGAATTAACAAACATGGGTGAGGAAAACATCTAGACAGATCTTAGTTAAGTGGACCAGTTCTTTATTTTGGCAGGTCTTCTGTTATATCATCCAGCATTCTACACATAATCTGACAACCTGTACATGAGTGAACTTCAGCCTCTGGTCCATTGCTAAACTGGCCTCCCCCAAGTTCAGTCACCAAAATCTAGGTGGTCTAGGAGTCCTCTACTCCTGAAATCCGATGCACTACATTTCTCTCTCCTGCCAGCGTTCAGGTTTTTTTAGTCACCGTTGCCTGACTTCAGGTCCTAACTAGATGACACCCAAAAGTCTTTAAGCCCCCTGCTGACTTCAGTCCTAATGTTTTTTAGGGTAGGCATCTTTTTCTAAAGGACCAGACAATAAATAGTTTTAGCTTTGCCAGTGATGGTTTCTGTCACAAGTACTGTTATGCCACTGTAGTGTGAAAGCTACCAGAGACCAAACTGAAGCGAGTAGGTGTGTCTCTATTACAATAGAACTTTGTTTGTAAGACCAGGTGGAGGCTGGACAGTGCAGTGGTGAAACATGACATTCTGTTAAGGCAGCCCCACAGGGGAAGGCTCCTGTTTTAAGTCCAGAGACTGAGTTGCGAGGCACACATGTGCCCATGATACAGGGCTGGCTGAAGGCGGGGGTGGGTCGTGGAGTCAGGATCTTATTGGAGATGTTGTCTTTCTCTTTCACTGAAGAAAGAAAGAATACAAAAAACAAAAAGGTGATGGGATGGATTAGGCTGCAATTTGCCAACTGCACAGATTCAAGCTGCCAAGTGCAGGACTTTGAACCATGAGGTGAGCCACGTGGGATCCAGCTGTCTTAACCAGCAGGCCATGGAAATGGCCCAGGACAGACTTTGACTAGTTTTTAATGTAGGAAAATCCAGCACCTGAAAAAGTGCTTGGCAAAAGTGCTTGGCATATAGGAGTTCAATAAGTGTATTCAATGAATTAACACACATAAAGACCTAGCTTCAAATTCAGGAATGGATCAAAGTATTTTTCCAAGTAAAAGCAAAATTGTAGTTACCTTTTTGCAAATCTGCTTCATTGTGACTTCCTCTAGGTTAGCATCGGCCAATAATTTCTTTACTGTTTCCTTTAACTCTTCATCTGTAGGTGGTTTCTTCAACTTTTTAATTAAAAGATCATTATCTGCACTATCCTCACATTCACTTTCTTTTTTAGAACTGTTTTGATTCTTCTTGGTGGTACTGCTATCAGCTTTCTTAACGTTAGCACTTTTTACGGATTTTTTACTTTTAGGAGTAGCTTTCTGTTTGGGTTTTTCTCTTTTAGATGTCTTTTTTGGCAGCTCCTCTTCGCTTTATCTTCATCTTCATCGTCTGAAGACTCTTCTTTGTTTTTCTTTGGGTCTTCATCACTACTAGATTCATCTGACAGAATTTCAGGACATTTGGTTCGCTTAGCCTTCCTTGCCATTCCAGAACTGTTCCGTTCCTCTTTACTGCCTTTGCTAGAGGATTTTTTAGATTTTGGCAATGGTTTGCCAGAAGGCTTTGGATGCATTAAAAAATTCAAAACCCTCTTCACTAGTTCACTATTTACACCCGATCTCTCCAAATCTAGAATTTCACAGATACTCTTTAACATGGCATTTCTAAATTTTTTCAACATTTCTTCCTTCTTTTTATATTGGATAATTTCTTTTTCAAAAGGAAAGCCACTGAACTGAACCACATTCATTAAAGGTAGAAACAGAAGGTCTTACTGTGCCTGGTCTGTTGTAAAGCAGTTTGTGTAGATTTCTAAGTTCATCTGTTTTCTTCTTGCTCAGAAAGAAATGTATCCTTTCAATCTCACAAAGTTTTTGCGCCTTTCCTTGAGCAATTGTAAATGGCTCTCTTTGTAAGGAAGAGACTTGCATTGTTAGCCTCTCCAATTTCTTCTTTTCCCTTTTGCCTTCCACGATGAGACTCTTTTCTTTCTCTTCCTCGTCGTCGTCTTCGTCGTCGTCGTCCTCCTCCTCCTCACTCTCCTCCCGGAGGCCGGGCTTCTCGGGCTCCTTCTGGGACTCGGGCTGGGTAGGGGTCACCTCTCCCTCGGCCGCCGGGGCGGAGGACGACATGCTGCGGGCCTGCGGGGGAGCGGCCAGACGTCTCAGTCCCTCTCTCCTCAGAAGCCCGACTCCAAGTTGGCTCAAGGTGGGCTCCGGGAGCCGCCGGGAGGGCGGCTCGCGATGCCTATCCCAAGGGGCGGCTTCCCCCAGCCTCGCCCACCGCCCTGGGACTCCCCTAAAGTATATATTTCTTGAGTGAATAATTCCATATTTTGGAATTTGGCTTTAGGAAGGAAATCTAGGATTTTTTCTGGAGCTGGCAGGTAGTGTTGTGGTTAAGGTGCTGGACTCTCACATGGCTGACCATGGTTCAAGTCTCAGACCAGGTGGCTTGCTGTCTCACTTTTTCTCTTTCTCTCCCCTTCTCTCATCAAATTAAAAAGAATAACAATAATAACAAATAAAAATAAATAAATATATATTTTTTAAGTCTAGAATTTTCAAAACTATTTTACTATAAAATATTTATCACAGTGTTACTTTTTTTAAAAAAGAATGATTTTATTTGAACTTATTTATTCATTTACTTAATTTTACCAGAGAAGGACAGAGCAAGAGAGAGACAGGGAAAGTGAGAAAGCAAGCTGCCAGGTTTCGAACTCCATCAGCCATGTAGAAGTCCAGCTCCCTTAACCACCATGCCACCTGCCGACCTCCACACTGTTAATTTTAATATTGAAATGTTGAAAAATTTAATGTAAAATGATAAGTAAATGATTATATCAATCAATTATAATACATCTATTTAACAGAGTAATAAGCAGCATCCATAAAGTACTGGTGGGAATTATGGAAAAACATGTAAAACTGCTTAGGTGATAAAATAGTTAAATACATGGGCTATTATCTCAACACATACTTTGCTTTGAATCTCAGCACTGTTAGGTGACTTTGGAAAAATCTCTGTCCCTCATTAAGTCTCAGCTTCCTCCTCTCTGCAATGAAAACAGAGCTATGGCAAATGGTAAAAGAGAGAAAGTGGGAAGAGTACCTGGCATGGTGCCTGGTATGAAATAGAGCTCCACAAGGATACTCCTTTTCTTTCCTATATGCTGTGAAATATCACATAAGTATTTCCAAGATGCCAGAATTTCACCAATTCAAAATTCTCCCTCTTCCATCAAACAAAAAAAAAAAAACAAAAACTTGAGGCATTCCCTGCTGTTGGGGACAACCAACAAGATGGAGTCTTCTCTATTGATAATACAATATACCTCAGTTGCCCCCATATGTTCCTTAGATTTTTTTTTTTGGTGTTACATTTTTTTGGTTTTAAATTTTTTCCCATATGGCTAGCTCTTGGGTAATCATGGAGTACTTGTTTCTGCTCAACTGGATAACACAAAATAATTAAATTATTTAAAGTTATTTATTATGTATATATTTTTGTACTTTTAAAACTACATTTAATCATTGTACATCTTTACAACATGCAAAATAAATTTTCCTAGTGTGAATACACTGTATTTTAGTTCAAAAAAAAAAAAAGACATTACTAAACACATTACCATAAAGAAATAATTTTCTATTTTTGTGACCATTATCTATTATATATTTTTAAATGCAGCATAATATAATGGGAGCTCAGCTTTGGAAAAAGCTCTGGGTTTAAATCCTGGTTTAATTTATCCTAGTTAGTTGTAAGACTTTAGGCAAGTTTCTCAAAACTTCGTTTGTCTGAGTTCTACAATAAGGATCATAAATGTGTTGGTCTCATAGTTTTACTGTGAGGATTAAATGAATGAATGAAACACTGTCATAAGAATTATTTTATTTAACTTATTTATTTATTTATTTTAATTTGACCAGAGAGGGACAGAGTGTGTGTGTGAGAGAGAGAGAGACAAAGTGAAAAAGCAAGCCGTCAGGTTCAGATTCAAACGGCCGTCAGCTATGTGGGAGTCCAGCATCGTTAACCACCACACTACCTGTTTGCCCCATCATTTTCAACTTTTTTTTCTCTGCTCTTTCCTGCCAGTTTATAAAGTCTAAATATCTTTCATCATTAAAATTATACAAACATCTCTTTTCTGGAATCTGGGTCCTTATCTAGTTACTATCCTCTTTTTTCTCCAAAGCCAAGTTGTTAAGCACATCACAGCCATTCTCACATTTTCTTCATGGGCTTCCATTCTTCACTTGCTGCTGGGACATTGAGAACATCATGATGCATTTTTGCATTGAAAAACACGTCATGACTTTCCCAACAGCCTAATATTTTATGCTGGTACTTCCCATAATTCCATTCTTGGTTGTTTTTTACTCACATTATGCCTGAGACATTTTGTCAGCCTCCAAGGCTAGAACAACTGTCTTTATGATGAAAATTTTTGCATAGGCCTGTTCTGAGGTCACGACCTTTGTAAACAACTATCTAAGGGCATACCTACCTGAATGTTCCAGAAACATCTCAAATTCAACAAGACTCTTTTCACTAATTAGAATCAAGTGTAATTGGATTCTGGCCTATAAGGCCTTAAATAACCTAATCATCCTTCTATATTGCTCTCTTACTTTTTCTGTATCTACACACTCTAACCAGCCTTGATAACTTCCTTGCTATTTCTTAAACCCCAAAACTACAATCTTATGTCAGGGTCTTCTATTTTTTCCTTTGGCTTGGAAAATTCTTGACACCATATCTTCACTCAAACCTCATCTTCTCAATGAGACCTAACCTGGTTACCCTATTTAATATATATTTTTAAAATTTTTTACGTTTTTCAACCTTTCCATGAGTTTATTTTACACATTCAATCACTATATGTCACTTAGATTATAAAGTTAATTTATCCAACATGAAATACACTTCACAGCAGTCCAGTTGAGGATACTATACATGTTATCAGCAACAGGTAATAAGTAATTTCTATGTGGCACAAATGTCTTGTCTCTTGATTTTCTCCCTAATTTCCCTCCCTACTATCACCCCTCTCCCACCCACCTTCCATGCTGACTCCAGTGTGCATAACTACTTTCAATGTTTTTATGTCCTCCAGTTTTTCAGTCTCTACTATAGAGTGCGGACAGTCAATATATGTTAAGTGGAGAAATACAATGTCTCCCTTTCATAGCCTTGCTTGCTTCACTCAGCAATACTCATCCACAGGGTTTTGTTTTTTTTTTTTTTTTTTGGAGAGGTTTTTGCTATAGGGCGCGTGTGCTTGCCAAACAGACAGAGAGAGACATAGAGACAGAAAGCGAGAAATCACCCCCCAGAGGGGATGGTCTCGCCACAATCCCTTCTCCTCCATTCTCCTCCTGGGATCTTGGGCATGCACGCACACGCGCCCGGTGTGAGTTCTAAGCCACCGGGTCCGGGACGCGAACCGCGGCTGACTACGTGGGAGTCCAGCGACATAGCCATTACGCCAACTGCTGGTTCCCAGGGTTTTATTTTTTTAATAGCTGAATAGTATTCCATGGATTATATGTGCCACACTTTTTCAATCCATTCATCTATTCACATTAATTTAGGTTGGTTCCATGTCTTCACAATCATGAATAATGCCACAATAAATATAGATGTGCAAGCCCTTAATATGGTGTATTACATTTATGATTTTGTGTATGAACCACCTTTGCCTCCCTGGAATAAAGCCTACCTCATTGTGATGATTAATCTTTGTTATATATTGTTGGATACAATTCGCTAGTATCTTGTTGAGAATTTTTGCGTCTCTATTCATCAGAGATATTGGTCTTTCAGGTTTTCTTTTGTTCAGGTTCTATCATTATGTTTTGAAAATGAGGGTGATGAAGACTTCATTAAAAAAATTGGGGAGGATTCCTTCTTTTTGGATTTTAGAAATAATTTGAGTAGTATGGGGGTTCTCTTTTCTTTACAAGTTGTGTAGAATTCAGAAGTGAATCCTTCAGGATCAGGGCTTTTCCTTGTTGGGAAGTTATTTATTACTGAATCAATCTCATTGCTTGTTATTGATCTATTCAGGCTTTCTAAATCTTCCTAATTCTATCTTGGTAGATTATATATGTCCAGAAATTTGTCCATCTCATCTAGGTTTTTTTGTTTGTTGGCATATAGTCACTCATGGTATCCTCTAATAATATTTTTTATTTCTATTGTGTTTGACATAATATTACCTGCTTCATTGCAAAATTGGTTTGTCTTGTTCCTTTCTCTCTTCCTAATTAGTCTAGCTAATGGTATCAATTTTATTTATCTTTTCAAAGAACCAGCTTTTGCTTTCATTTGTTTTCATTTATTTTCTTTTTAAAAAATTTATTCATTTATTTTAATTTGACTAGAGAGGGAGAGAGAGAGAGAGGGAGAGAGAGATAGAGAGAGAGAGAAAGTGAAAAATCAAGTCACCAGATCTGGGACTCGAACCGCAGTTGGCCATGTGGGAGTCCAGCACTCTTAACCACCATGCCATCTGCTGGCCCTAGTTCATTTATTTTCTATTTCATTTATTTCTGCTCAAATCGTTATTATTTCTTTTCTCTTGGGGTATTTTTTGGATTTTTACGTTGTTGTTTTTCTGATTCTGTGAGGCACGATGTTAGGTTGTCCATTTACCACTTTTTCATTTTTTTTCTTATGCACACTAATGGCTATGAATTTCCCTCCTATGGATGCTTTTGCTGTGTCCCATAGATTATTGAAACTCAGGTACTCATTATCTTTTGTTCCCGTAGATGTTTTGGTTTCAGAATAAATTTCTTCAGTAGTTGTGAAGTCATTCAGGAGTAGCTTATTTAGTTTCCATGTGTTTGTGCATTTTTGATAATCTTTCCTGAAATTAATATCAAGTTAATTCCTTCATGATCAGAGAAGATGCTGGATATAGTTTCTATGCTTTGAATTTGTAATGGCTTGATTTGTGCCCTGTCATCTTGTCAATCTTTCAAAAAGCTCCATGCAGGGGTTAGAAAACGTATTTTTTGTGGTTTTAGGGTGGAAAGTTCTATAGATGTCTGTCAAATCCATCTGATTTATGGTATCATTTAGATCCTATATTCATTGCTCTTTTATTTTATTTATTTAT